AAAAAAAAAAAATAAAAAATAAATTATCAGCTTTGCTAAAACTGCAATCGTGATATTAGACAGATACAAAACTGCAATCGGAGTTATATTATTTCCAAAGAAATTCAGAATCAAAATCGAAACGAATACTAAACAAATGTAAATTAATGTTAGCAGATAATGGCTCCGACAGAAACCAATCATCCCCTACCGCCGCTACGCATTTGCGAAAATTTGTGACAATCGTACATCTAATCGATTCAAAAAGAGAAGCAGAAGAAGCTGGCCTGAAGTATTAAGTAGGTAAAACAGAATTGGAGAAGATGACCTGAATCGAAGTAGTGTTCTTGTAACCAATAAGAAACAATGAAGTGTGTTCTTCACTGGTCACCTCAATCGAAGTAATATTATTCTTGTAACCGAAAGAAAAAAATGGAAGTGCTCTCTTCTCGGGTCACCGCCTGCCGCCTGCGACTGCGAGCACACTGTATGTTGTTATATAAAGGTATTTACTTAAGGGCACGTTTGGGAAAGTGGATGGGATGGAAAGAATTGGGATTAGACAGCTTTTCCCAACTATTCTCAACGTTTGCCATTCAAGAAAATAGGCCCGGAGATAACATCGAGCACGTAAATAAAACCCTTGTACGAGGGAAATTGAGAAAATTGTAAATTTGGTTCCAAAATTTTTTTTGTTTTTCACATTTGGTTTTAAGCACGTCAATTCTGGTCATTTTTAAATTTTCGTTGCAAAATTGGTACCACTTCGTCAATAGTTAACGGTCTTCCTCATTAAGACGTTAGTCGCTATTTTTAATTTGGAGGAAATTGCAAATTTGGTCCCATAACTTTTGTTGTTTCCCACATTTTGCTTTCAAAAAGCTCACTCCGGAGTGAGCTTTTTTTTCATTCGATTTTTCTTCTCGAACTACTTGAGACTGTAGTGATCCGGCTTTTTTTATAATTTTTTTGTATAATTATTCTGAATTAATTTTTCTTGAACTGTAAATGAAAAAGATACTTGGGGAAGAAGAAGAATTTGGGGAAGAGCTTTAGAGAGAGAGAGAGAAGAGAGTGAGACGAGAGAATACTCAATGCATAACTGATTTCATTTTCACCTCAAATTCCCCAATAAGTAAATTACACTCAGTTGGGTCCACAACCTAACAAACTCACTATTTGGCACATGCTAGAAATAAACATAAATATAAAATAAAACAAAATGCCATTCAACTATTAATAATAAGTAGATGATGATGCCACGTTCCCACTATTCATCCATTGAGATCAGTGGCCGAGATTTCTCCACGCGTCACCATCTGAGACTCCCCCTCAAAATCGGACAAAGCTTGTTTGATTGTCTGAATCCCTTTCACTTTACTTTCCCGATTTTCTTCTTCATCGCCCTGGTTGAGTTTCTCTCCTTTTTCCCCTGAATTTCCTCTGGTCTCCACTGAATTCACGACATTTCTCCTCCGTTTTTCAGATCCTTGTCCACAAGGATCAAATCCTTTAAACTTCTTTCGAATAAATTTTTCGTCTTCCCACGAATTGATATCTAGGGTTTTGTCACCCCAAGCCACCAGAATTTGCTGCACATCTTCATTTCTTCTCTTCACGCTGCGTTTGTCGAGGATCTCAGTAGGGCGTGCGACAAATTGGTCATCTTCTCCAGGAATGGGCAAAGTTGCTACAGATAAGTCTCCATACCCTATCTTCTTCTTTAGCAGTGAAACATGAAAAACTGGGTGCACTCTAGATCCTTCGGGTAATTCAAGCTTATATGCGACTTTACCCACCTTCTCAATGATTTTGTAGGGTCCTTAAGGGCACGTTTGGGAAAGTGGATGGGATGGAAAGAATTGGGATTAGACAGCTTTTCCCAACTAATCTCAACGTTTGCCATTCAAGAAAATAGGCCCGGAGATAACATCGAGCACGTAAATAAAACCCTAGTACGAGGGAAATTGAGAAAATTACAAATTTGGTCCCAAAATTTTTTCTGTTTTTCACATTTGGTTTTAAGCACGTCAATTTTGGTCATTTTTAAATTTTCGTTGCAAAACTGGTACCACTTCGTCAATAGTTAACGGTCTTCCTCATTAAGACGTTAGTCGCTATTTTTAATTTGGAGGAAATTGCAAATTTGGTCCCATAACTTTTGTTGTTTCTCACATTTTGCATTCAAAAAGCTCACTCCGGAGTGAGCTTTTTTTTTTTCATTCGATTTTTCATCTCGAACTACTTGAGACAAAATGTGGGAAACAACAAAAGTTATGGTACAAAATTTGTAATTTCCTCCAAATTAAAAATAACGACTAACGTCTTAATGAGGAAAACCGTTAACTATTGACAGAGTGGTACCAGTTTCTCAACGAAAATTTAAAAAGGACCAGAATTGACAAAATATGGAAAACAAAAAAAGTTTTGAGAACAAATTTATATCTTTTTGGAGGGAAATTGGATCCATGGATGGATGGAGGGTATTTTTTAGTTTCCCAGCTAATCATTTATGCTGAAATGTCCATTTTGCCCTTAGGAATTGATATGAACCACCACTTTTGTGTTCTATGGTTGAAAACATTACATACAAAATTACATCACCCCACCTCTATAAAATTCTAATATGGTAAAATTGCAAGCCCTCTCTATTAGTGTTGTAATCGAACGGAAATGAGCTTGGGCTGTTCGAGTTTGTTTTCGTTTGCGTTCGAACAATGTTCGTGTTCATTCGTTTAGTTGTTCGTCAAAGTTCGAGTTCGTTCGTGTTTCGAATAATTTGATACATAAACTCTTAAATATATTTGATTAACGCGAAATTTATTCGTTCGAACTCGAAAATAAAAATATTCTTGTATTTTAGATTTTGTATTAAAAATATTATGAAAATATATAAAAAAAATAAATGAAATTATATCAAATTTTAGTTTTTTTATTAAAATATTAAATGTATAAAAAAATAAAATTATATTAAATTAATGTTCGCGAATATAATCGAATGTTCACTAACGAACTCGTGTTCGTTCGTTTAATAACCGAGCCTAATTTTCTGCTCGAACTCGGCTCGAATAACAAATGAACGAGCTTTTGTCGAACACGAACGAACTTTTATTCTCGAACATTCTGTTCGTTTGCAGCTCTACCCTCTACCAAAGCAGATTGAGTGAGACGAGTCTTCCGTTTCTGTTCCTTCAGCTCCAATGAATTTAAAACTTAATGATGCATTTGTTTTCAGTTAGTACCTTCATGTCTAATTTTGATAGTTGTGATGGATTAGACAGTAGAGATAGAGAGACTTAGACCATCTCTAGCCCTTAACTCTACTCTAGTGCGGATTTTACTTTACTCTAGAGTAGAGTTAAACAATCATCTCCAGTCCTTATCTCTACAT